CTTATTCGCCGGATTTAGCTCCGTGTGACTTCTTCCTCTTCCCAAAGATGAAAATTCAGCTAAAGGGAAGGAGATTTGAGATGATAGAAGAGATTCAGGCAGAATCGCAGATGGTGCTTGACAGGCTGACAAAGAAAGATTTCCAGGGATGCTTCCAGGCTTGGCAGCGGCGCTGAGATCGTTGTGTTCACTCCCAGGGGAACTACTTTGAGGGTGATGGATGAATTTAATACCTGAGATAAGTGTACGGGTTTTTATAGGCGCAGACTGGAAACTTTCCGATCGCACCTCGTACCCGACCTTAACGATGAGACAGAATACAGACCTAAAGATACAGCTGCCGAAACAACACTTACAGCTCACAAATGGAAACGTAGACCCGCCTTTCTGCTGAGTTGGTATCAATTAAATCACTGTGTCTGGTCAACAAATTAAACAGCAGTGTTCACTGAACGTTCTGTGTATGTCCTTTGATACGAAATGAGACGCAATCAATTATGGTTAAACATATTTGAAATATGAGCGTGAATTATGGGTCTCTCGAGCAATCGACTTTCCCTTCATTCGGCAAACTTATTCGAAGCGTTACGGACAAGCGACTTTGATATCCGCCCACAGGGACTACATAAGCACACGATAAACCCTAGGAACGAATAGTCTTAATCTGGTACGAACTGCAGTCCTACGCCCGTGTAAGTTTGAATGCTTCGCAGCTTACACCCCACTGACAAACACCACACGAAATACGACAGAAGCTGGTCAGCTTCGTTAATCTAGATGTACTGAGGTAAACTCTCTTAAAGTTTCTTTATAGAAGACTACGAAATTACATAGAACGTCATATCGGAGAGGTTGGGCCACCAACAGCTGCAAGGTGATAACAATTCAAACAATGACAGAACAAAAGACGGCGGAAATACTGCCAAAGCATGCTACAGAATTCATGGCCCCTTTACGACGCTGCAATTTATGTTGCATTTAATAGCTGCACTTTGCATTTTTAAGAACACAAGGCGCCAAATATATTATGAATAACTAAAATGTCTTGTCTTGCATGTTTTATCTGTTTGGATAATAACCATTTTCTGTATTCGGTGCCTGAACATTCAAGAAATGTTACAAAATTACATGACAGTGTTCAATCATGCGATCAAATGACCTAAGTCATCCAAGTTTCGGTTAAGGCTGCTTAGCAGGTAAATATTTGTCAGACAAAAAGCACGTACCACCAAACAAGTAAGGAAAATGTACTTGGGG